AGTCGCCTATTGTTGTCATGATCAATCACTGGTGTTATTTACTGGTTAGGATGAACACAAATCATTTTAACGACTATGGTGATGAACATTATGACTTTGATCTGGTCTCACCTGTCGTTATCAGTAGGCCTAGTCACGGTTTCAGGTAACTGACTGTCAATAGTTACTTTTAGCATCATTATCTGTGAAGTGTGTGTGTGTGTGTGTGTGTGTGTGTGTGTGTGTGTGTGTGTGTGTGTGTGTGTGTGTGTGTGCGTCTGCGTCTGCGTGTGCGTCTGCATGTGCGTGTCTGTGTGTGTGTGTTTATTTTATCTTTATGTGTGTTTAATCTTGGAGCAAATTGCTCTGATGAATCCGAACGGCAGGACACTGAAAATCTAGTCGCTTATTGTTGTCATGATCAATCATTGGTTGCCTACCGTTAGAGCCTGTTGATGAGTATGAGGAAGAACGTCCATTACATCAGAATATCCAAAAATAGCCAGACTGTGGTCAGGTTGAATATTAATTTTGTAAGCACTAGAAAACAATTCGAAAATGTTAGACCAGAAAACATACAGAATAGGACAAAACCAAAATAAATGTGCCAGTGTCCCCTCCGCCCTATTGCATCGATCACATTGAGAAGATATAGAGGGAAATATTTTATTTTATCTAGTTTTGGAATAATGAAGACAATGTATAACTTTGAACTGGATTCATTTATATCTCGAATTTACCGAACAACTCTTTATTCTCAAGGCTTCTTCCCAGATCTCATCAGTCACTTCATCGCTCAGTTCAGTAGACCAGACTGCTTTAAGGTGCTTAGGGCATACAGATGTTGCAAAAGCACGAATAAAGCAAGATACCAGATGTCTGGTCTCAGGATTAGACGATAAGAGATCATGAATAATAGGATTTTTAGGTTTATTTATAAACTGTGGAATATTTTTCTTTACATCATTTCTAATTTGCAAATAACGGAAAAAGGGAGACTGTGGGAGTGTAAACGTTCATATGAAAATGTACATTTTAAAATATATTAAAATAGAAAACAGATATTTTAAATTGCAATAATATTTTACAATATTCGTGTTTTTAATGCATTTTTTATCAAATAAATGCCGCCTTGATGAGAAGAAGAGACTTCTTTCAAAAACAAAAAATCTTTCTGACCCCAAACTGTTGAACAGTAGGAAACATCCACATGAAGTGAGTTTGCATGAAGACTTGTTATGTTTGTATGAACCACACGATGGCGTCAGAGCATTGAACATTAAGTGTTGCGACTCAAATTCAAAACCCTGTTCAATAAATATTTGCACTTCCAACCTCAGATGAGAAGCTTTTAAATCAAAGCCCATTAGTTCAGATTTGTTGAGTTTTGTACTCTAAGATAACCATAATAACCATAAACCTGAGTTAAACAGAAGACCAATTAAAATGGTTAGGGTTATTGTTATATTTCTGTCATATTTCTTACTTTAGTTTCAAAGAACAGCCTGCTGCCTTTTGAATGCAGTCTCGCTCAAATATAAGATTTCCACTTCCACTTGTTTTTGCTGAATAATTTCCAGTGTTATTTAAATGTAGTAGTGATACTTTTTTGTATGAGTCCATAATAATTCACTAATAAGTCACTATTATTCTGTGAACCACAGAAAGAAGTATTGATGTGAATTTGAAATCACAGCTGGAAGTTCTGTTTTTCCCCCATTATTTTATTATTTTTTTTATTCTATATATTATTATTGTTGTTCATATATTTATAGGCTTGATGCAATTCATAATTACCCAGGTAATTAACACATTTACTAAGGCAATGCACTGGTTATCTGTAAGGGAGATGCATTAATATCATTGTTAATACTAAATTGTAGGCAAAAGGGTGAAGTGGTGAAGTGTTTATTAATTTAATGTGTAGAACAAAGACTAGGTAGATTATAGAAAATGAAGACGACTTAAAAACGGCCCTTAACACCAAACCACCAAACTCTTTATAAATCGCGTCGTAGCAGTCATTGCACCAACCCGGAGTAAACACTGCACGTGCAGTTTTTCTTTAGAGCAAATATAGAACAAAAGCACAGGCGATCTGCTCGTGGAATGAGAAATGTTTCCGTTTACATTGTTCATGATACGTCATTGACTGTGAACTGCAGTCTTGGCAAATGGGAGCCCATTATGAGATAACTCTACAAGTGTGAAAATACTGAGTTTTTTTTTTTTTTTAGCAAAAGTCTCCATTTGATCTCTCATTCATTTCAATACTGTCTAGAGAAACGCAAAGTCGTGCATTTAATCTTTAATGTTTTCGCTCAATGCAGCGAGTGTTCACGACACAATCCTGAGCGCACTGACAGTTAACAACGAGAGCGCAGATGCACCAGTGCTGCTCACGAGCAACGAGTCCTGTCTCAGCGGCGCAGCAGCGAGCGTCGCGAGCGTCTCAGATCGCTTCAGAAGCAGCGGCAGCAGCAGCACGCGCGCGGACACGGACGGAGATGGCGGGAGCGCAGCCGGGGGTCCACGCGCTCCAGCTCAAGCGCGTTTCAGTGCCCGAGAGCCTGAGGACCGGCGACAAGTTCATTAAATGGGACGATGTAAGTAACATGCGTGGCAATGCCCGTCCGTTTCCTAGATTTCATCGTCCTATTTTGTTGGAAAACATTAAAAAGATAGATCACCACAAAATGAAGCTTCTGTCGTCATGTATTCTCCCGCGTATGACTGACTGACTTCTGTTAAACCCCATTCATCCCAGCGTTTCCCACAAGTATCTTAAACTTAAAGAGATCGTAGAAATCAGTGTTTTGGATCTAGTAAATAATGACAAACTTTACATTTTTGGGTGATTATCTCTTTTAATGCAAATATATTGTGTAGGATGGCTTTTTCATTTTTAGAAAATATGTATTTCAAACCAATGTATTCATCTTCATCTTGATCAGTTATATTGCACTATTGGGGCATGTTTGTATAGCTGCTTCCTTTTCTTTAATAGATTGTTAGTGATATTTGTTTGACATTATGTTTAGGCAAATTACCTTTATTAATAACTTTAATCATAACAGCTGACAGCACATGCACCTGGCACGTGATCCTGGAAATCTGATGATTATCTTCAATGTAACGTTTCCTTGTTCCCATATTTCCTCATATTCTCCCCTTTCATGGCCTCTCCTGCCTTAAAAGGTCAAAGCTGTTCACGAAAGTCATCAAGTCCAAGTGCTTTCATCAGGGTTAGGTAAAGAAAATGCTGACACAGAGCTTCATGGGGGAGGGACAAACATAACTAAACAACAGCGATAACTACTTTAACTGAAGATCACAAATTCACAATGCGTGCAATGTGAGTTTGACACAAATTATGGATAGGGTCCTTGTATTATTGGCTTTCCAAGATGATTGCACATAAGTAATAGAGGAAGAATTACTGTATATTGTTAATAATTCCAAGCCTCAGTTAAACTATGTTGTGTTTGGCATAGAGATGACAGTAGCGTGTCAGCTTCTGATGAGACTTTGTTTAGGAGAGAAGTGGGATTTCTATTTTTCCTGTCAGAAACCACTTTATCAGGTTTATTCGAACATCTCTAGCAATGCTGCACTTCAGGAGTGGTCTTCATTATCCACTGTGCCCAGCCCATGAACTGCAGAAATGCATGAATTAATGAATTAATGAATTAATGGTTTTGTAAACCACCTGCACAGGGCCGGATTTACGCACAGGCATTCTAGGCACGTGCCTATGCTCGCTCGTCCTCTCTCTCTCTCTAATAACTGCATTAATAACTGCATTAGCCTGCATATCAATGGCCCAATCCTCTGTTATTAGCTCTAAAATTAAGTTTTGGAATTTTCAATGGAAGGTTTGGGATGAGGTGCGTAAAAATAGTAAACAAACAATAGGGTAAAAAATGACAAACTATTTCCATGTCTTCCACCTTTTTTATGTACGGAAATCACGCTTTCACCGGTTCTCTCTCACAGACGCGCACACACGCGGACAGAAACGCTGCCCCGCGAATTTATCAATAAAATAGTTTCGCAGCTGAAAAGCCACATGACATTTCTCAGTAGGGAGTTTCTTGAAGCAGTTTAACTTAAAGATTCGCTATTAGTCGACGCTGCTGCTGAACACTGCTGAGAGACTCACAGAAGCACGTATTCACACGCGCTTAATATCTCTCTCTTTTTCTCACTCTAATAACTGCATTAATAACTGCATTAGCCTGCATATCAATGGCCCAATCCTCTGTTATTAGCTCTAAAATTAAGTTTTGGAATTTTCAATGGAAGGTTTGGGATGAGGTGCGTAAAAATAGTTCAACACATTTCAGGACGGAAACATGTCAAATGTCTTGAAACAAATCATCTGAACAATGTCTTGATGTGTGGTTGTGACTCCTAGCCATTAAAATTATTAGAGAAATAACTCCCGAAGAGGTACGCCGCGCCTATTAATGGAATGGTCTTTCTGAGTTCTCAAACAAATTAAGAGCTACATTCGATTTTTATTGACTGAACGCAAGCGCGTATTGCGATAGAAAAACACTAACGTTTCCACTGATTAAGAAATATTTTTGTTTGCTTGGGTGGTAATATTAGGTCTAACATATTAATAGGGAAGTGGGGCCCAAAAATTTGTTTTGCCTATGTCACAAAAAGAGGTAAATCCGGCCCTGCACCTGCATGTACTGAACCAGCAGGCAGATTGTTTATGATCATCATTGCTGATGCTAATGCCTCATCTTTGGTGATGCTGGAACTCTGATCTTAGACTGTCATAAACTGCCCCAGTTAAATCTTTGTCAAGAGAAGCGGTGTGGCATGATGGTTGACTAGTTGATTATTCATCCAATAACCAAGTTAGTGAGGTCAACAAGTTGTTGGATTTTTAAACTGTTGGGGCTCAAGGACATATCATGATCATCTTGTCAGCCAGCCTCTTCCTAATATAAAGGCAGCTATAAAAATGTAATTACAGAGGTTGGTACTGTAATCTGATTAGAGTCAGATGAACCCAAAACCGCGGACAGAAACGCTGCCCCGCGAATTTATCAATAAAATAGTTTCGCAGCTGAAAAGCCACATGACATTTCTCAGTAGGGAGTTTCTTGAAGCAGTTTAACTTAAAGATTCGCTATTAGTCGACGCTGCTGCTGAACACTGCTGAGAGACTCACAGAAGCACGTATTCACACGCGCTTAATATCTCTCTCTTTTTCTCACTCTAATAACTGCATTAATAACTGCATTAGCCTGCATATCAATGGCCCAATCCTCTGTTATTAGCTCTAAAATTAAGTTTTGGAATTTTCAATGGAAGGTTTGGGATGAGGTGCGTAAAAATAGTTCAACACATTTCAGGACGGAAACATGTCAAATGTCTTGAAACAAATCATCTGAACAATGTCTTGATGTGTGGTTGTGACTCCTAGCCATTAAAATTATTAGAGAAATAACTCCCGAAGAGGTACGCCGCGCCTATTAATGGAATGGTCTTTCTGAGTTCTCAAACAAATTAAGAGCTACATTCGATTTTTATTGACTGAACGCAAGCGCGTATTGCGATAGAAAAACACTAACGTTTCCACTGATTAAGAAATATTTTTGTTTGCTTGGGTGGTAATATTAGGCCTAACATATTAATAGGGAAGTGGGGCCCAAAAATTTGTTTTGCCTATGTCACAAAAAGAGGTAAATCCGGCCCTGCACCTGCATGTACTGAACCAGCAGGCAGATTGTTTATGATCATCATTGCTGATGCTAATGCCTCATCTTTGGTGATGCTGGAACTCTGATCTTAGACTGTCATAAACTGCCCCAGTTAAATCTTTGTCAAGAGAAGCGGTGTGGCATGATGGTTGACTAGTTGATTATTCATCCAATAACCAAGTTAGTGAGGTCAACAAGTTGTTGGATTTTTAAACTGTTGGGGCTCAAGGACATATCATGATCATCTTGTCAGCCAGCCTCTTCCTAATATAAAGGCAGCTATAAAAATGTAATTACAGAGGTTGGTACTGTAATCTGATTAGAGTCAGATGAACCCAAAACCAGCTTAATTATACTGGGCTTCCTTCAAATCCTTCAAATAACCGAGTAATTGACTAGTAATCCAAACAATCAAACTAGCCAATTTAGAAAATCTGTGGGTTTGTACATCTTGTAGTCAAGAGAAAACAAAATAAAATGTGTTTTTAGCACTTCTCATATTATTGCCTCCTTAAGAAGAGTTGCTTTTTTATATTCCTCATTTATACGTCAGTTTGGATAAAAGTGTCTGCTGAATTAATAAATAAATGTCATGTTTGAGAGTGACAACTGTATTTAAAATTGAGTGTGAATCTCCTAAATGACCGTTTTTAAGTGGGTCCAGAATAGAAGCTAATATTAACGACCAGAGACATATTATTGTCCTCCATTCTTCATACCATGTAGATTTCCAGTGTCTTTTTATCTGATCTTAGTTTTATAAACAAAAAGAAATGAAATATCCAAAATGCTCCAAAACAGCTTTCGGAGCTGATAAATGATGCAGTCTTGAAGTAGCGGATCGCTTTCTCTGATCTCCTCCAGTGACCGCCGTGTTTCCTAACATGTGCATGAGGAGCAGGGATGCATGTGATCCTGTTTTTTCCAGTTTGTGGTGGTTTTGGGTGTGATTCCAGGCTGATTTCCTGAGTTTCCCCAGTTCACATGTTTTTATCCTGTGCACTCCTTCCTCTTTTGTCCCTTTCAGTCTTTCAACTTTCTTCATCCTGTTTCACTTTTAGCTTTTAAAGTCTTTGTGTTCTCACTGGTAAAACTGAAAAGCAAAGCGGTTTGCTGGAAGAGACTTTTGAAGCCCAGAGTTTTCTGCAGAATCATTTCATTGCAGCCTTTCACTTACTGTTGTGCTCGTTTTTATTCGTTACTACCTACTGGGAACAAGCCAAAGAAATATCAAAGAAAGTTTTTTTTTAATCAGTAGGCCTATTAGTAATTCAGTACACCTCATCTTACTTGCCATGCCAGTCTGTCAGGAAACAACTACTTCTAGAGAATTAGTGATCACCGAAATGTCACATTGCACCTAAGTAGGGCTGGTCGGTATGCACAACTGTAAAAACATGTCAAGACATTTTGCATGGTGGATATATTGGCCAGGACTTCTTTGTTATTGATATGTGAGAGTCATTCAGACTGCTCAGGGCTGCGTTTCTCGATAACGATTGATCTTAGTCTATCAGAAGATGCAGCTCTCCAGTGCGTGTCAATCCAGTGTTGTTTCTCAGGGACTGCTGGAGAATGACTGATCTGAGCCGGGTTGGCATATGGAGACACAACTGTTCAGATCAAGTGTGGCGTCTGGCTGCGCTGGCACCTGACATCTTAACTGTGATGCTCCATCCACAGTCAATTACATATAATCATAACCACGGTCATAGCACTGGGAAAACTGTCAGCCACATGACACATTGAGCTTCCTTCAGCTCTCCAAGTTTTTCAGCATTCAGAATGAAGAGCTGCTGCTCAAGGTTTTCAAGGTTCCAGCAGAATGAGTGACAAAACAAAAATGAGTCAATCCCGCAAAGACCGCTCGCCGTGATTCAGAC